GTCTAGCAGCGCCGTTCGTCCCCTCCACAAACATGTTAGGAATGTCCTGGCCAAAGTAGATCTTATGTTACCCGCTGTGGCTGAAAATAAACCCAATCCAGGTGTTGGAACTACTTGAGAGGGAGGGAAGAGTTAATAACAGGTTCAGAATCTGACTCAGCTGAGGAGGATATTTTTATGGGTCATCAAAACGTTGCATTAATGGAGGATTAAAAAAAAAAAAGTCAAAGGGAGGAGGATTTTTTTTTCCTATAAATTGCCATCTGGCCTCATTTATCAAATATAATATGCAGACTTTAGTCCAGGTGCCATCGCATTAAGATCCTTCTGTAATGCAGTCTTCAGATTCTCATCTATATATCTGTGAGACACAAAAACAAATTGTGTCAACATGCAATCAATACCACTTGAAAGGTTTAGGAAAAAAAACTACAACAACAACTAAAAACTATAGTAAAGCAAAGTCAATTTCTTACCAAACAACTCAATGTAGATCTCCTGCAGAGTGTGCACGCTGCAGAACTGGTTCAGTTTATGATGGATCTTGTTGAAAATTAGAGTTTTTGTCATAATCAGCTGTGTAGTTCCTAACAATATCCACCACTGAAAACACAGATTGACCATTATAGCTGGTCAAACTGGAAACAAAACCGCTTTTCATTCAGTCACATGAATGTTACGTGGAATTGCTGTCTACATTTCTACAATTTAGAACAGTCATCTTTTTTTTCTTATCATTTGGAAAGTTATCTGTCTTTTGTAACACCATTGTAAACAAAAAACGAACACATGGTAAAACATCATGTGGTTTTTGCTGCCTGACTGAATCCATAATTTAACACAAAATTACTTTTATTTTGCCTTTTCTATTTACATCTGGTTTGTGAAGCTCCTGAAGTATCTTGTTTCTTGACCAGTTAATTATTAGTTTCTCTTCAAGCATGATTTTCCTTCATTGCGCCAGTCAGGCGTTTTGACTTTACACCACAAGATGGCGACAAAATAACAAGGTATTTCAGGAATGTGACTGAATGAAACAACTGAATGCTTCAATCAAGAAACTTTTGTTTCAATCTGCCCCCGAAAATAAAATAAAAAACCCAAAAATAAAATAAAAACTCTGAATAATGAAATAACTGAGAGGCCACTTTGACGACAGTATGAATGATTCGTTTGTTAATGTGACTGTTTTTGCAATGCAACTAAAACATGTTGGTAATTGTGTTTACTTTTTCGTGTCAAAATAATAGAAGATACTCGGGAGAAAAAAAGAAACATGGCACAATTCTTTTGGCTGACCTGGGAGGTCAGTTTGAGATGTTAATTTCCAGGATATTACATATCAAATGGGCGGAGAACTGAAGACGTTTTCCTCTGGGCTTGGAAGCTGACAATGACAGAGTCCGTCTAACAGAGCAACATGACACATTCTGGATATTTTATATGGATTTTCATCTCCTCATGCGGTAAGCAAAATGTCTTTCTTTGTTTCTTTTGCTCTTTGTGTCTTTTATTCTTTCTTCCTTTATTTGAGAATAACAAGTAAGAATACTTTAACTCTCTCTAAGTCTATAATTGTTTTGTTGTTGTGGCTGTTCTTCTTCTTAAATCTATTATTATTAATTTATTAATCTTTTATATATTACCTCCTTTTCAGGGGTCTTGTTGGGAAAAGTTTTACTGTGACCTACAATTCTGATCAGGGAACCCAAGTTTTCAACTACCTCCAACCATGAGGTTTGTCCATTTCCTGTTTGTTATTTGCATTTTATTTGGTGAAGTGCAAATAGTCCTATAAGCACTTTATAGGACTTTATTTGGTGAACTTGAATTATAGGACTTAGTGCTTATTTTTGGCTTGGATTAATAAGCAGCAGAAAATTATGAACACTTTACAGAAAGAGAGAGAGAGAGTTTGGCCTGGCACTGAATTCTGTCACAGCTTGTCTCTGCTACATATCAGAGAAAGCCTTTTTCTCAAAGGCAGATCCTGTTTCTTACAATTCTAGGCCACACTGGTCTGTACATCCCAAACCTTCTATCACAATCATCTTTATTATTACAAAGAAATCGGATGACGTGTACGTTTCTCATCAACTGAAATATTTGTACATTTCCTATCATAGCCAATGCCGTGCCTCATTTACGTGGAATAAAATCACACTTTCGAGCAGAGTTTATTTGTAAAAATTCAATAATTCTTCAACATTAATAGGAACTCAATTAATTTTTAGGTCCACTGCTACTACCATGGGCATGTTGTAGGAGTGGAGGACTCCTCTGCCAGCATTGGGTTGTGCTCAGGAATGAAGTAAGTAAAATGTTGTTTTTAGGTCTTAGCAGCACCAGATGTCTGCTTAAGGAAGGGCAGATTTCACTGAGCAACTGTGGCACATTGGTCAGTGTGTCCAATTCAACGTGAAGAATGGACTCCCAAGACATCCTGCGACATGACAATGCTTAATTTTACATGTCTCCGTATGAAATTAACTCATTCGTTTGTTTATGTATTTATGTTTCCCCCCATTTTCTTATTTTTTCTTTTTATGCAAATGAAAACTAGCTTGGACAAGACGTTAAGCTCCATAGTGAGAGAACAAAAAATCTAAATACTGTTGCAACCATCTCTGGAGATAATGAGGGATCTTATAAGATTTTTATGAAAACATACAGGGAAATAAATGATCAGATTCCTCGTTTCATGTACATGACTGCAATTCTGGTACATGATCTAAACTGAGAGGAAATGTTACAAAGAATGTAAACACTCCTCTGAGTACTAAATTGGTTGTCATTTATAATTTGGTTCTGGTACTTTTATACTTCATTTCAATAATAATATGAATCACAGAGACACGCTGGCTGAAGAGAACAATAAAACCTGTCAAAACTCCTCTGGCAGATTTTACATCAAGCAGACGTTTACATCATTTTGTTTTTAATTTTTACGTGTTTTTTTCTTCTTCTTCTTCTTCCTACTGTTTTTTATGTTTTATATTTTTATGGAATTGTTTAATTTGGCCCACTGTTAACCAATTTATTGGTAATTTTGTAATCTTTTTGTACTTTTGATCCTGTTTGTGGGCTTTCATGGTTGTTTTATATTTTGAATGGTCACTTTAATGTCTATTTATGTTTTTATTACTTAGAGTGGTTGGTGTGTGGCTACCCAAGGAATGCTAAGTGTTTTTCCTTTTTTGTTTTATTTTCATTTGTTGTGTTTTATGATCTTTTGACATTACATCCTGGTATTTGTGTCTATCATGTGGGCTTTATATTACAGAATCAGTAGCAGAGGCGTTATGGCTCCACAAGCTGCTCTGTAATGAACCAGTGGAACATGCTCAGGACCTCCTGCAATTCGCCTACCAGGCAGATGTTGGTGTGGAGGATGCCATCCTCTACCTGCTGCACCGGGCCCACTCCCACCTGGACAAGGGCAGGGACACAGTGAGGATCCTTTTCTTGGACTTCTCCAGTGCCTTCAATACAATCCAGCCCCTTCTGCTCCAGGACAAACTAAACAGCATGGGAGTGGACCAGCACCTGGTCACCTGGATCCATAGTTACCTCACCAACAGGCCGCAGTATGTCAGGCTGAAGGACACCGTGTCTGACACTGTGGTCAGCAGCACAGGAGCCCCTCAGGGCACAGTGCTGGCCCCTCTTCTCTTCACCCTGTACTCCTCTGACTTCCACTACAACTCAGAGCTGTGTCACATACAGAAGTATGCTGATGACACAGCCATAGTCGGATGTATCAGGGACGACAGAGAGGAGGAGTATCGCTGTCTGGTGGGGGCTTTGCTCTCTGGTGCCACACAAACCACCTGGAACTCAACACCTCTAAGATGAAGGAGCTGGTTATAGACTTTGGGAGGTCCAGACCAAAGCCAAGACCAGTCGTACTAGAGGGAACGGAGGTTGAGGTCGTGGACTACTACAAGTACCTCGGGCTGTGGCTGGACAGTAAACTGGATTGGTCAAAACACACCAGCCACCTGTACGGGAAGGTGCAGCAGGATGTACTTCCTGAGGAGACTGCGGTCCTTCAACATCTGCAGCAAACTGCTGTGGATGTTCTACCAGTCTGTGATCGCCAGTGTCCTCTTCTACACCGTGTTGTGCTGGGGAGGCAGCACATCCAAGATGGACACGTCCAGACTGGACAAACTGATCAGGCGTGCCGGCTCTGTGATCGGCATGAAGCTGGACTCTCTGGTGACGGTGGCAGAGGCGAGGACACTGAACAAACTGCTGAACATTATGGACGATAGCAGCCACCCTCTACACGCCGTCATCAGCAGCCAGAGGAGCCTGTTTAGTGACAGACTGCTGCTTCCCAAGTGCCAGACCAATAAATTCAAGAACTCCTTTGTCCCCCACGCCTTCAGACTGTACAACTCCTCACTGGGGGGTGGGAGGTGACACAGGGAAGAGGGAAGAAGGAGTAGTTTTTCTACAAATGTGAACTCCATATTTATCAGGCCTAACCATACAGTGCAAGACCATATCACTGGTCAATCTATCCACCAAATTGCTATAATTTCCTTTTGTGTTGTATTTATATTCTTTGTTTTGTATTTATATTCTTATTATATTTACTGTGTACCTTTTATTTAATTTGTATTTTTTTGTATTCTTTTGCGTATGCTTACTGTGTGCCACATTTTTGCCTGTGAGCTGCTGGTAACTATAATTTCCTGAGGGAGTCTTCCCAAGGGATCAATAAAGTCAAGTCTAAGTCTAAGTCTATAATCGGCACTTTATCCATTGGACAGCATTTCATAATAATTACAGTTTCTCTTTTTTTTTAATCAAAATTAACAGATATATCTTGCGTCATGATTGTAATTCTTACATATAGTGTCTGCAAACATGGTGATGGAAAGATTGTGCCTTCATTTGTATTCTGTTGAAATAAATCAATCAAACTATTTATTCCTTCGTGTTTTCATTCAGAAGCCATTTGTTTTGGTTCAAAGTGGTTACCTAGCAACCTCTGAAACAAACATGATAGCGGAAAGCTATGGAGCTAATTGTTTTATGCTGAGGGATGTGTATTGTTCTGGTAATGGAGAGTTTACTTAGTGAGGAGGAAGAGCGGGACACGCTTGCATGGGTAGATAAATTACCTTTATCCAGGCACACAAAGCACATCAACAGGGACTTTAGTGATGGAGGTAGATCTTGTCTTGTGTCTGTAAATGTTTACTCAGTTTGTTCATGTCAGCTTGTGTTTTATTTATTTGGCTACTCTGTGTGTCTACATGCTGGACCCTCCTGCAGTGATGGTTGCGGAGATTGTTAAGCATTACTTCCCAAAGATTGTTGACATTCACAACTACATTACTTCCTGCAATACACAGCAGAAAATCAGCAACTGGAACCTTCTTAACAAGTAAGACAAGCTGTAGCTTTGTATTTCATTACATCTGATTCCTGGGAATTATTTCTGGTATTCTTCTATCAGGGCCCTGGTGAAAGAATTAATATTAAAAACTAATGTTTGTGTTTATGGTGCTATTCACAGTGACACGATTCACAGAACAATTGGCTCGCAGCACCATAGATTACCCATCATTTATTCTTGTTATTATAATTGTGTGTTTGATGCTAAAAAGCAAAATCTTCCCATGCTAACCAAAGCACACAGTTATAGTTGTCCCATTAGCTTTTAGGAAATCCAGCACCTTCAGGCTTGTCATTGCAGGACAAAAAAGGGTTTTTCCTTATAAGTGGTTATTAAAAAAAACAAATAAACAAAAAAAAAAAACAAGTCAATCACGTTTTTTTTTCGTTGTTTTTTAAAAATTCTTTACTTTTTTCTCACTGCGCATAATAGAAATGTGAAGTTGTCGTCTTGTTTAGCCTGAGGACTAGTCACTAAAACAAATGGGGCTTTGTCATGAAGCCCGAATTTATTAATCATCCATTAAATTGCTCACTCTGATCAAATCCAAAATATTAAGAATGAATATAAATTTTAAATATGTTTTAAAAGAGCCCATAGAAATATCTTCAAAAGTGAAAAAACAAGTTTTTCCTTTTTACAAATTATAAAAAAAGACAGAACGATTGAGTTATTGGACTGGTTTTCAGTTACAAAATCAGTCTAACTGAAAATGCATATTCATATGCGTTAATATGAATATTAATATTTGTATATTAATATGCAAATATTAAGATTGATATTTTTTTCTGGGTCTTTTTATCAAGTCATCAGAAAACACCGACATGCACTCACTAACCCACATCCTGGCAACTGGAGTTACACACAGCCAAGTACAAATTTATGAGACCCGACTGTAAACATAGTTGTCCCTGTGGGCTCATTAGTAAATTGCATGTCGTTTGCTTTTTACTTATTTTTTTTGTAGTAGAAACTTATGTTTCTCCGTATGGTCAGGAGGGTGTTTTCCAAGCTGGAGTTTTATGTCTCAGAGGAAGCGGTGGAGAAGATTGTTTCAAGCACTCCTGGGGCGATACTGCCAGTGATGTTTTTCCTCAAGGAGAAGTTAGAGAAGAAACTGTCATTTTCAGGTACTATGTTAAATCTTCTACACTCTATGTATTCAGGCTCTAAAGATGTAAAAGCGTGGCATACTCTCTCCAGATCACTGACAGAGAGAGATATCCTGAGTCTGAGTTGGTAAAAGCTTGACATCATGACAGAGGCCACCTACTTATCAGATTTAAAACCCCTATCAAAAGTCATGCTCAGAGATTTTACATCTGAGAAGAGGAAATGATAAAAGGTACCTGAGAGAGAAAGCAGCTGGACCCGAACAAAATAAAACATTTTTGCTCTTACTTTGACTTAGGAGGTTACTGCTCAATATTTGTTTGGACATTGTCAGAATAAATTGCTAAAATTGTTAGAATTTTATTTTATAAACTCAAGCGGAAATAAAATATGTAATAAAGACCATATTTTGACCCATAGGGTCATAAAAAGGAAATAGAAAATTATAGAAAATAAACACACTGGATTTTTAGTATTTTTTTTCCCATGACAATTCAAATCCAACCACTTAACTTAATATTCTGATAAAACAAACAGCTCCTCACTAGTCTTTTGTACTCTCTTGCTTTAGTCTTTCATCTGCACCCATCCTCTATCAGCAAGGGGGGCTCAGGTCTCCTTATCAGCTCCCAACTTTCAGATGGTCCTTATCCAGCAGTGAGAGCTCAGCACTGTTGACTGAAAAACAGATTTTCTCTTTCTGTCCTCTTTTCTGACATTGTCTGTCTCATTTTGTATTCCTCGCTTATTTGCTAACTTCTTTACTTTCAGTTATTAAGCTCACCAGATTTGTTAGATTCAATCTCTGAAAATGTCTCCTCTTTTGTTGTTTGTTTTGTTAGATGTAGAAATTCAAGAGGCTGAAGCAAAACTTGTGGCTGAACTGGCAGAGATGAAGATTGCAGAGCCAACAGTGTATGGGAAAACTGTTACTTTGAATTGAAACTAAAAGTTTCAAAAATCAGTTGCTCTACTTGTAATGACGATTAGAATGAACCAACATTTGACTTGTTCATTTTTAATTCACAAAGGAATCCGCAACAAGTGACATTTTTCACAGACATGAGCCTTTCAGTAACCCGGCAAATCATACTGGAAAAAGAACTTCAGGTCCAGGAACTTCAGGATATTCTGAAGGTACACTCATGCACAAACATCCATCTTCCTTTACAATGCTCTGTGTGAGGGGAAGCTTGCTCGTGTTGCAGCACAAGTGCGTGGATGTGTGTGTGAGCCTGTCATAGCCTGGGTCAGCAGCAGTCCATGAGTCACCACCGGCTCAGTGGCGATATTTTTTTTTCTTCTTTTGCCTCATCTGTTTAAAAAAGGGGGAAAAAAACCATAAAGCTGTCCTACATTTCCAACTTCCCTTTCAAGTTCATGTCTCCTTAGGGAAACTACCTCCAGTCTGACATTCTCTGTTTTCTCGTACTTAGAACCTTCAGGTGAAAGTGAGCAAGTTGGAGGAGCTGATTCAATTGAAGGACAAGCGCATTGAACATCTGACATGTCTTTCAGGGATGTACAAAACTAAACTACGGCTCGCTAGCCCATAAGTAGCCACCGGCTTAGCAAATAAAAGCCTGTTTCTTTTGCCACATCCGTATTTGTTTTAATGATGTAATTATTGAAGAACAACTGCATGTCCATCCTTTCTTTAATTCTATATTATAAACATATTTGGCTCTAAATTCTGATTTTTCTTTTTTTTTTTGAAAATATATCAGTCAACAGATATATGCAATAGTTATTTGCCCTATTATAAATATAGGGACTTACTGGCCAATGACATAAACTGAAGCTAGCTAATATAACAGGCTTGGTGACTTATTTTACCATAAAGTTCAGTCAGACAACATGCAGCACTGAGAAATTGGACAAAAAAAGATTCTAGAATAAATCATGGTTTTGTTTATGTAATTCTGATTATAAAAGAGGATATGAAGTTTCAGTGTTTATTTCTCAAATATATTCAACTTCTGCATCCTTTCAAATATTGCATATTTTTATACACAGTAACCCCAAAGTTGGACTGTTTCTCACCAACTTCCTCTACTTGCTAAAGCTTTCCTTTATAAGCAACATGTATACGGCTGGCTGCCTTTGTTCAGCACACTGTAAACTCACCATCTGCTGGCACTGAGGAGTACTACACACTGACCACCCACCCATCAACCAACCCACACACTCACACATTACACCACACAGGAGAGGTACCAAAATAGGTTTTATTATCTTTTTTTTTGTTTTTTTACATAAGAACATTGTCAAAACTGGAAAACATGTTTGCATAAAAACCTTTTAAAACAAGAAGACAATGTTTCGATTTCATGGATTGTACAAAATATTAACAAAAAATAAATTTCATAAGTGATTCATACCCCTCCTTTTGCATCAACATTTGAACCCATCACCAAAGCAATGCAGAGCGTAGAGGTCAGGCAAACGAGCATTAGTAGTGTCCACTGCATGCTGCGTTTGTCTACTAGAATCCAGGTTGTGCCTCTTTTTAGTTTATGGGACTACTAAATGTTTCAGTCTGTGAGTGCATCTCTGGGAGTGACCCCCTTTAATAATTAAGGCTTGAATTCTGTATCGCAAAAGATGATTAAAGTTAAAGAAGCCTAAAATGAAAGAAAAGCATTAAAAAACCCAAAAACCCATTAAATTCTAGCACCAACTTGCAATATCAGCCTTTATCTTGAAATACTTATTCCTGGGATTAGTTTGAAATTAAATTACAATAAAACTGAACAAACACAGTTGTGTTGAAAATAATAGCAGTGCTAAAAGATCAATCACTGTTCTAGGTGAAAGCCAATAATTTGCTGGCAGGTGTAGTGGAATAATAGAAAACCAACAGTGACAACAGCCATGAATGTTCATGTTACTGAGTCATTAATTAAGAGAGAGGCCCTAGCGAGCTTTCAATTTGTAGGTATGATGTATTGGTCAATGGAACCTGAGTACAACAGAAATATTTTCATGGTATTTTGATTAAAAAGTTGACTTGGAAAAAAGGAAACCGTGTTAAATGGTGGCTGCTTTGCTGAAATGATCTTAAATGCTTTATAATTGAACCCAAAACCAAAAAGATGTGGACAAAGAGACAAAGCAGTTAACCACCAAACACTGATCTAAGATGGAGGCTGGAAAACGTGATCACAGGAACCAGAAGTAGACTCCATGCTACAGATGTGAAGCACTTAGGAACATGATAAACAACTAAATATTATTCCAGCGAGTCAAAGAGCTGAAAGCTCAAGAATTTTCTTCAGTTTATGCATCACATGTTTGAGTTTGAATATCCTAATATTCCCTTATCCTCAATTTCTGTAGACATAGCAAGTTTGATTATTTTTGTCCTCAATAATTGACATCAAAAATAATAATTCAGATATATAGAAAGCAAAGGTTAAAAACTTTCCGTTTTAAACCCACTGCTGATATTTTGAGCACAACTGTATGTTTAACCGCTTATTACTAATCAGATGCGTGTTGCCATTAAACCCTGAAAACCCATCAACATTACAGTCATTAGCAAATTATCAGAAGTTTCCAGTCAAATTTTAAGAGTAGAAAAAGTAAACAATGACAAAATTGGAAGATTTACTTCAACCTCAACAAAAGCTTATCCTCACAATATAGACAGCTACTGTGAGTTGACTGCATACAAAAAGGTGTTCGGTGCAATCAAACCATCATCATTCGTTCAGTTTAGGCTTGAAAACAATTTTTTGTTTACTTTCTTTTTTATTTTTGACGTAAAAGCAAAGCATTGCTCAATAATAAGTCAAACAATAATTAGAATAAACTAAAACGTCCTGAGAATTTACATTTAATCATATCTGAACAAGCTGTGTAAGGAGACAATCATGGGTTTTATTTATCTGAATTAAAAAACAAAACAAAAAAAACATGCATAGCCCTGTTAATCAAAACCATACCAACATGCCGACAGCCTGACAAAAGAAATTCCCCCACCTTTACTGATTTACTCCATGTCAAGCATCTTAATTTAGTTTTATGAGACAAAAAATATGAGTTATGTCCCTTTTCCTTCACAGTAAGTGTCACAGAAAGTCAGCAAACCAACAGATTACAAATTAAAATCATCCATAAAAATAAAGCAAACAGCCAACAATCTTATTTATCCACTCTGCTCCACAAAACTTCCAGATCTCTGAGTGAAAGGAAGATTAACAGCTGGGATTATTTTCATTGTGTCTTTAATGTTGAAACATTTGCATTCAACCAGCCTAAGTGCCAAAACGTCACCAGGAGCAGCATGAGGTGTTAATCAATTGTTCTCAGGCGTGGACTAAGAGAGGACAGCCAACCACTAACTTGTTAAAAGAAAAACAAATGGCACAGATGACTTTAATTACTTAGAAACGTCTCCATCCAACTTAATTAGTGTCACCAGTCAAGTTTCAATGTAGTTAAACCAGAGGTTAGAAAAACAGTAACTCATGGCGATCACAAATCATAGCTGCTGCACATAAGGAATGAAAACGGCTCCAAAAGCAAAGTTAAACGCTGCAATGATTTAATTAAAAAAAAAAGGAAAAAAAGCAGGTGTAAGTACTTTCTGTCACCTTCCCAGACGTAAAGTCGGCATCGTTCCGTTTCCTGGTAAGACTCACACTGTGTGTCCCAAACTCTGACTTTTCACTTTCTCTCTCTCTACCATGTAGATTTAAGACTGAAGTGTGCTGTTCACCAAACTAGCAGCAAAGCAACACATGTTCAGTGACAAGACCGCTTTGCATCAGGTCGTCCTGCCCTGTGCAGAGGCTCAGCTGTGGACTCACTGTGACTTTTACTTCGCTTTACTCAGTTCCGGTTCAGCGATGGGTAAAGAAGGCGAGGGCACGGGTCTAGCAGCGCCGTTCGTCCCCTCCACAAACATGTTAGGAATGTCCTGGCCAAAGTAGATCTTACTGTTACCCGCTATGGCCTGGTACTTCATGAGCTCCAGGTATTCCGGTGTCAATTTCAGCTGCAAAGATTTAGAAGAAAAACAGCTCATTATTAATGCAAATCACTCATGAAAATACTAGCGTGTCTCTTAGCACGACAATCCAGGCTGAAAATAAACCCAATCCAGGTGTTGGAACAACTTGAGAGGGTGGGAGGAGTTAATAACATGTCCAGGATCTGACTCAAGCTGAGGAGGATATTTTTATGGGTAATCAAAACGTTACATTTCTAGAGGATAAAAAAAGCCAAAGGTAGGAGGAGTATATGAAGCATAAATTGCCATCTGGCCTCATTTATCAAATATAATATGCAGACTTTAAATATTCTGACAGTCAGAGAGACTAAACTGAATCCTGCCTGCAGCTTTGTGCTTATTGACAAATCAAATAAGTCTTTCATTAATTAAATGAATTAAACATTTAACTTAATTTGAAAAAAAGAAATAGAAAATATACATTTTCTTTACACATCATGATATATTTAGAGCATATGTTCTTTTTTTATGATTATGGCTCATGACTAGTAAAAATCCAAAATTCAATCTCAGGAGAATAATACTTGAGATCAATAAAAATGTATTATCTTTTGAACAGGAATGCAAAAGCCTAACCCTGACTGTATGCAGGCATGTGACTGGAGAGTTGAGTGGAAGGAAAAGTAGAAAAAGGTGGAGAAGCATCAGGGATAATCAGTCTGAAGATGATTGAGAAGCAAAAGCCCATCAATTGGAATATATGACCGAATCAGTTTTTGTAAAGTTTATTTACAAGAAAATGAACTGGATTGAACCTACGAGTTTTAGGGAGGCAAGAAATAACAGAGATATTTCACTGAACCTACATTATCCATAGTTTTTCTTTTTTTTTGTTTTATTAGTGACAAAATGAGCTATTCAATGATATTGTACTCCATTGGGATCCCACTGTAGAAGTGATTTATTCATCTTCTTACCCTGTTAGATTCTGCAGATTTGGCAGCAGTGTAGTATTCTGCATCAGCCTTCGCCTTCTCCCTTGCCAGGAAAGCAGCGTCTAAAACAGAAACAGTTTCAAAACCATCGAGGATGTCACAGAAACGTCTGAGAATCTCAACACGCGATGCTAACCTTCTATTTCAGAAATCTTCTTCTCCGTCTCTTTCTCCATGACTTTCTGCTTGTACTGGATCTCTGCTACTTGAGCAACCTTTTGAGCCTCTGTTGGGTAAAACAGGGAAGGAAACAGTTAACTGTGCTCCAAGACATTAGCAGATTCACAGACACTAAAACAACAGATTTACCAATAATGGCTTTCTTCCTTTCAGTCTCTGCTTCTTTTTCTACCACTTTCTGAGTCTGCACTGTTATTAAAAGGCGGGTCTTTTCAGCCTCCCTGTACATACACACAAAACAAAAGAAAAAAAAGTTTTGGAAAGTGTTTTGCCATCTTTCAACCGAGAGGATGGATTAAAAATATATTTTAAAAAAATGTGCACTAAAGGATTATAAACTCACATGAGTTCAAAGTTCCTCCTGATAGATTCTGGAATCTTTGGCTTGGTAACACGAACTGCCTTGAACCAACAAGTGAACGTAAAGAGGAATGAAAAACAATATGCTTTGATACAAAATTTATTA